TATGTATAGGCAAGATCTTTTTAAACACTAGATCATCCTCTTGGAACTCTCTCGGATGTGATCTTTCATCATTCGTTTCTGATGCATCTGCCGAGCTTGGATCCCTTCAGCCTCCTCTAATTTTAGCTCCTTTAAGATACAAAGTGATGGTATCTCAAATTGGTAAGACTGAACAAATAAGGTGTTGTCCCAGTGATGTTCGAATAGTATTTCGATATGTATATAAGGCAAAAGGTAGCTTCTCGTGCCAATCCTAGTAAGTTTCAGTGATCTTTGTAATGATAATCTTAATGTTCTTATTTGCTCCTTCAACTGCCTCATTCATCTTTGGGCGATATGTCAATGAGTTTGCATGCTTAAACTGTGCACAAAGTTCAGTCGTCTCATACATAGAAGTCTTTGTGAAAAGTTGTATCTCCATGGGAATGAATATTCAAGATTAACTTTCATTTACATGAAAATAATATAATTAATGCATGATATATTTATTTAAATCAATTGTTTTTTCTTCTTTGAGTATGCTCCAATCACTCGAAATTATCTTCGATAAGCTGGTCTATAATGCCTCATCTCGTCTCTTCTTGTAGGAAGATTCACGGATAATTGAAAGTTTGGTTCTTTTGAGGTCATTTGGTTTATGATGGTTTTGTATTTGAAAGGACAAAAGTGTGACTTTTGAAGTCGTGTATGTGGTGGAAGGTAGTATCATAAACCAGTAAACATCTGGATTTGGTCTCTCAAAAATAGGTAAAGATATTTCTTCAGAGTCTCAGATAATCATAGTGTCAGGATTTGGTTTTGTAAGGGTCAAGTAATTGGCGTTGGATGGGATATGGAAGATATAATTTTACCACTTGCCAAAGATCTATAACTCTTGAAAAATTAAAAGAATATTTAATCTACTTGATACTCAAGAATTTCAAGATTAAAACTTAATTCCTTGGTCATAACCATAAAAGCAACACAAATTTATTTATTGTACAAAGGGCGGAGAAAAGGAACAAAAAACAAGTTCAATCAAGTTGCTGAAAGTAGAAAGGTACTACAGTGGTAGATATCAACTTCCACTTGTTTATCAATCATGCCTCATTATAATGTTAGGTGTGTAATAGGACTAAGGTTTTTGTCCTCATTTACCCCCCATTTCTTGATCATCTTTTGTGTCAACTTCTTTGGATAAACCCTCGAATGCACAAATTTTTGCTTCTTCCTGACCAATTTCTATCATCATCTTCTTCTTCCCCGAGTGGAAATTGGGCTCAATTTTATATTCAGAACAGCTTCCTTTAGTGATGACAATTTTGTTCTGATTCTGAATGCATCTTGCAGCTGTGATTGGAGTAGTATTCACCAGACTCTTTATATTGCCCACTGCTTCACTTGTCCTCAGAATATCTGATATAAATGTTTGAGATTTCTTCAGAGTTATATTTTTCCCATTCATTCTTAAACCGGTGGGCCAATCTCGAATTACCTCTCTTTTCATTTCTTTCTCATTCTTTAGCATCAGAGAAGTATCATGAGTTGAATCTGTCATACATACTTTATATTCCTCAATTTTTCCTTTTTTCTTTTTAATATCTTCTACTGTATGATCTTCATTTGCCTTGACCGTGTTAACTTCATTTTGGGGTTTGAATCCCGATTATTTAATCAAAATGGATTGACTATTAACATCCACTCTTATGATTTTATGAACCAAAAGGTCTTGAACTTGTCTTTTGAAGTTACCGCAATTCTCGATGGAGTGTCCTCGGATTCCAGCATGATATTCACAAAAGACTTTCTCATTATACCATATCGGGTAAGGAGGTAACAAAGGCTTAGCCTGACATGTGCCAATAAGATGGGCTTTGAGTAACTCAGGATATAACTTGCTGCATGAAACTGAAGGAAACTTGGGTAGAATTTCCCCTGACATCACTGTCACATTACAATTGTTTTCTTTGCTTTCTTGAAGACCTTGTGACTGAGGATCTAGATGTTTGCTTTTTTTAGATTTCTTCAATGGTACTGAAATTTCTTCTATGCTTCTCTTCAACTTGATCTTTGTCTCATCTTCTGGGGTCATACCCGATTTTTGGAGATTTATCGAATTTCCACATTCCCTGGCAAAGTTCTGGTCATTTGTTTCCATTGTATCATCTACATTATTCATAATCCCATTCAAATATTTCACAACAGGATCCTCTAAGGGGTTCTCTACATAGATTACAATATTCACCAGGTCCATCAATTTGGTCAGTTGTTCCTTTGAATCCTCCTGGAACTTTTTTACTTGATCAATCATCTTTTGTTGTGTCTCGATAAATTGCTCTTGTAGTTTCTCGATTCTACTAACCCTTGCTAAAATCTCATTCATGGCTATTATCCTTCTTTAAGAAGACCAAGTTAACTCCACTTTGATTCTTTCATGGAATTTTCCACGAACTATTCCACGTTGTCATGATTAAATGCATGTAGAATAGTTTGAAATAAAATGTAATTATGCAAATATGCAAATGCAAAAATGAAAATATAAATATAAACGTAAAAATGAAAAAAATGCAAAATGAAAATGCATGTATGAAAAGGTGTTACTCAAGAGTGATCATCTTAGAACAGATTTCATTGAACACAAAAGTTTCCGTGCATCAAACAAAACTTTTATATATAGGGGACAACTTTTAGTCCTATCTTCAACAAAACTTTACATATAGGAGATAACTTTCCCATTTTCTTCTTGAAAGCTAAGTTAGTCGATCAGCTTATGGGCCGTATTGCTTGTCTGGACTACAGCTTCTTCCATGACATTCTGGTGTTTCATCTTCTATATCAGTTCTCGGAGTTGCTCATTTTCCCTTGTAAGAGAACTTTTGTGTTCAAGAAGTATATATATAAAAATTTTGAAAAGAAAGAATTAAAAATTAAATATATGAATTTTTGATTTTCTAATTGATAGAGACAATTAATAATTTGTTTTAAAGTTTGACCACTCCCCAGCAGAGTCGCCAAGCTGTAGTAACCAGTTTTCGCCCGAGTACGAATTTTTTATTTGGCGAGAAAAATGATGTGAATAAATGGTTTAAAATGTTTTGGGAGTCGCCATCGGCCTTTTGGGTCAAGTAGGTCGAATACCTAAAATTATCTTTTAAAAGAGTTTTTAAGGAAACATCAGTTAAAAGATAAACTGGTATGCGTTTTAACCAAAAATTCGTTCTTTTCAATAATAAAAAGGGATTCGTGGTCGATTACGTTTGGGGAAGGATTAGCACCCCCACAACGCCCAAAATTGGTACTCATTAATTATAAATTGTCTCTATTATTGAAAATTTAAAAATTCAAATATATTTAATTCATAATTCTGTTAAATTTATTTATTAATATATTAATATCTATATTTTTAAATAAGAAGATATTTATTTACTTAGAAATATCAGAAAAAGGGCTTCTAGGTGCTTTAAGACAGCTCTTTTCTTAATATTAAAATAAATAAATAAATATTAATAAAATATTTATCTAAAAATAATAAAAAATATTCATTTATTTAAAAATATCAGAAAATGAACATCCAATTACTTTAAGACTGTCATTTCTTAATATTGAAAAATAAATAAATATTAAAAATAATAAATTTTCCTAAGAAAATAATTTAAATAGAATAATATGTATTTTCTGGTTTTTATAAGTAAAATATTTATTTATTTTTAAAAAATCAAAATAGGATATCTAGTTGCTTTAAGACTGTCATTTTCTTCGATATTTGAAAAATAAATAAATATTATTAGTTAAACAAATATATATATATATATATATATATTTATTTATATGAATAATATAATAATAAAATAATAATTAAAGTAATAATTTAAGCATATTGGAATTGAAATGATAATAATACAAATTAAATTGCAATTAAATAGTGACTAAAACATATAAAATTAAAGTAATAGGATTAAAATATAAAATATTAAAATTTACAACCCTTATTCGTAGTATTATAAAAAATATAATTACTAATAGTGTAATTAACCCTAATTATTAATAGGTGATTAAAAAAATAATTATTGAAAATTAAAGGCTCTAATTCGAATAAGAAAAAGTCTGAATGCTAATAACGTAATTTAGCTTTATTTAATTAATTTGGGTTAAAATAATAATTACTAAACTGTAAGGGACTAAATTAGGTATTTACCCTAAATATATATATATACAAATAAGGATTAAAATAAAAATAAAATAAAATTTAAAGACAGAATTAAAAATGCTCATAAGTGTAATTAGTGACTATAATGAAAATTTACAAAAATGTAGGTATCACGCATATGATTTGGCCATTAGCGTAAATTACACATATACCCCCTATCCAAAACGACATCGTTTGGGAGGGGATATAAACCCATAAAACTGACTATTTTAGGCCATTCTTCTCATTTTTCTTATTTCCTCTCTCTCTCTAGTTGAGAGATGAAATTATCTCTGTCATCTCTCTAAAACGGAGAGGGAGAGACCACCGGTCGACAGCCGTGCTTTGATGCCGACCACCACTGTCGGCCACCATGAGCGGTGGCCGAAACTCCCAAATTACCCCAAAATACCAATCTCGGCCTCCTAATGTCGATTCCAACCTTTGTTTTCCCTAAAAACCTTTATATTTCCGTAGATCTAATTTTTTTTTACCTTCGACGTTTGGTTTCTAGCAGCAAGTGGAGGCTATGGTGAGTTGTCACTTTTCCTTCTTTTTTTCGTTTGTTGTTTGGTGGTTTGCCCCGTTGGCTCTTTGTTTCTTGGTTGCTATTTTCCCCTGTTTTGTGTTGTTCGTCGTTGCTGGTTTGCCTTTGTTTGCTGTTTCTGTTGTGGTTGTTATTCTCTCGTTCTTGCTCTATGTCTCCTCTCTTTTTTCCTCTCCTTTTCTTCTCTGCATGAGATGGCCATTTATAGGCCTCATCGGTGTCTTCTTCGGACCAGTTAAAGGAATGACCCTCTGTGAGTCATCGAACTATGGTGGTGACTCACCATAGGGTAGCAACGTAGATAAGGCAGCTGGCTTCTGGAGGCTTCAGCGTGGCAGTAGGGCGTTGGATCACCTGGCAGTGATGGAAGCTGCTGTAACTGATGCGTGGAAGGGCTGCTCGTTGAAAGCTACTGGAAATGATGCATGGAGGGGCTGCTGGATGGAGGGGGCTGCTCGGGTAAAAATTTAGTGTCTACAACAAACATTCTGAAAAGTCAATACAAAGAAGAAGTATGAATGGATGCCTTAGATCTTAATAATGTAGGCGCTTCGGAACTGATAAGTTGTTAGGAGGCCTTGAACGCAGCCTTTATCAAGGGATCTTCTAAGATGTGACAATGTTCGGAAGAGTGCAACCTTTCTCCGACTCGTTAAGTCTGTAGAAGATTCAGATGCAGGGATGTTTCACTGTCTGGATTAGGGACCTTTCTTGAATCAATATCCAAATCGCCCTTTCGGGTTTTCAATTTGGACCCATTATCGGTTTCAAAATGCCTTTTGCGGATTTTCATCTTGAACCCACATTCTTTCTTTTTCTTTTTCTCTTTCTTTTTTCTCTTTTTCCTTTTTCTTTCTTTTTATTTTTTTCAATTTAGGGTGCCCTTTCGGGTTTTCACCCTAAACTTTCTTTCATTTTCTTTTTCTTTTCTTTTTTCTCCAACTTATGACGTCCTCTTGGGTTTTCATCCTAAGAAAAATATTTCTTGGCTGCATCCGAATTAACGAGATTTGGCAGTTCTGGCCCGTCTATTTTAGCCAGGACACGTGCTCCTCCGTAGATGGCCTTTTTCACGACATAAGGTCCCTCCCAATTTGGCATTCATTTTCCTATGAAGTCTTTTTTGAATTGGCCAAATTCTCTTTAGCATAAGATCTCCTTCACAAAATACTCTTGGGCGCACCATCTTGTTATGTGCTCGAATCATTCGTGTCTGGTAGATTTGACCATGATGAATGAATTTCAATCTCTTTTCCTCTATTAGGTTCAGCTGATCATATCGGGATTACACCCATTATACATCATCCAGTTTGACTTCTGACATGACCCAGAGTGACAAAATTTCTACTTCAATGGGCAACACCGCTTCCATCTCATATGCCATTGAAAATGGGGTTGCCCCAGTCAAAGTTCATACCTAGGTTCGGTAAACAAACAAAGCAAAAGGCAATTTCTCGTGCCAATCCTTGTAGGTCTCATTCATTTTTTCCACTATCTTCTTGATGCTTTTATTTGCTGCTTCTACTGCTCCGTTCATCTTTGGTCTGTAAACAGTAGAGTTGTGATGTTTTATGTTGAATTGCTCAACCCAGCGTCCATCATTTTATTGTTCAAGTTTTTAGCATTATCGGTAATAATTCTTTTAGGTAAACCATACCGATATATGATCTCTTTCTTAAAAAACTTGCAAATAGTGAATTGAGTGACACTGCGTATAATGCAACCTCTACCCATTTGGTGAAATAATCAATTGCCACGAGAATGAACCGGTGACCATTCGAAGCATTCAGATGGATTTGCCCGATAACATCCATGTCCCACATAGAAAAATGTCATGAGGACGTCGTCACATGAAGTGGATGAGGTGAAACATTTATTTAATCTCCGTAAATTTGACACTTATGACATCTTCTAGCATAATTGATGCAGTCACTTTCCAGTGTGGACAAAAAAAATATATGTATCTCATTATTTTCCTTGAAATCATATGTCAATTCGCATGTGTTCCACAAACTCCGTAATGCACTTCCTCCACTATCATCTTCTCCTCTTCTGCATCTATATACCTTAATAGGACTTGATCATGACTTTTCTTGTATAAGACCTTCCCATCAAGGACATATCCAGCTACCATCCTTCTAATGGCTCTTTTATCAATTTTAGTGGCTTCCTCTGGATAATTTCGATTCTTGATGTATTGCAGAATGTCGTGGTACCAGGGCTTATTGTCTTTCACTTTCTCAATTTGATAATAATGAGCCGGGTACTCATACGACTTCATGTCAATTGGCATCATTTCAGACTCCCCGCTAGCCTTGAATGCAACTGCCAAGGTAGCTAAGGCATCAACCATTTGATTTTCTTCTCTAGGCACATAGTGGAAGGTGACTTCATCGAATTCTTCGAGCAGATCCAATATTAGATTTCGGTACTCCACCAGCTTTACATCTTTGGTTTCCTATTCTCCACAAAGCTGATAGATTACTAAGTCTGAATCTCCATATACCCGCAGGGTCTTTATATTTTGCCCCATTGTAACTCAGATCCCCAAAACACAAGCCTCATATTCTGCCATGTTGTTGGTGCAATCAAAATTCAGTCTGCTAGTGAATGGGTAATGATTCCCTTATGGGGAGACCAATATAACCCCGATGCCATGTTCTAATGCATTTGATGCATAATCAAAATGTATTTTCCAAGATCTTTCTATGGAAGTACTTGCTTCTTCTAAAGATATGGCCATTAAGTCTTCGTCTGGGAAGTCAAAGTCCAGCGGCTCGTAATTTTCATCAGTTTTGCTTGCCAAGAAATCTTATATGACACTTCCTTTTATGGCTTTCTGACTTACATGCTCGATGTCAAATTCAGATAACAGCATCTGCCATCAGGTTAACCTTCCAGAAAGAGCAAGCACACCTATCATGTACTTTAGTGGATCTAACTTGGAAATCAGCCAAGTGGTGTGATACAACATGTATTGCCTGAGTCTTCGTGTAGCCCAGACTAGAGCATATCAAACCTTTTCGATGGGAGGATATTTGACCTCGCAATCGGTAAACTTCTTGCTCAAGTAGTAGATGGCTCTTTTCTTCCTTCCGGATTCATCATGTTGACCCAAGACAGACCCCATTAAATTCTCGAATATGGATAGATACAAGAACAGAGGTTTGTCCAAGATAGGGACATCAGGATAGGAGTGTGAGACAAATACTCCTTTATTTTCTCAAATACAGTTTGATAGTTCTCATCCCACTCTCCAGGGTTGTTCTTTCAGAGAAGACGAAAGATTGGATCACACTTGTCGGTTAACTAAGATATGAACCGTGCTATATAATTCAATTTTCCTAGAAAACCTCAAACTTCTTTCCATGTTTACGGGGGAGGTAGATTCTGGATAGCCTTAACCTTATCAGGATTGACTTCGATGTCTTTCCTGCTGAGCACGAAGCCTAACAGCTTCCCAGATATTACCCCAAAGGTGCACTTACTAGGGTTCAGTCTTAGCTGGAATTTTATTAATCTCTGGAAGAGTTTTCTCAAATTCTCAACATGTTAATTCTCGGTTAGTGCCTTGACAATAATGTTATCGGTATAAACCTCGATTTCTTTATGTATCATGTTATAGAATAGGGTCATCATAGCTCTCTAATATGTTTCCCCAGTATTCCTCAACCCGAAGGACATCACTTTGTAGCAGAAGGTTCCTCACATCGTGATGAATGTGGTCTTTTCCATGTCTTCAGGATGCATCTTAATCTGGTTATACCCTGAGAATCTGTCCATGAACGAGAAGAATGTGTTCCCGATTGTATTGTCCACCAAAGTGTCTCTGTGCGGCAGAGGAAATTTATCTTTAGGGCTTACCTTGTTAAGGTCCCGATAATCAACACACATGCACACTTTCCCGTCTTTCTTTGAAACCGACACTATGTTGGACACCCACTCCAGATACTTGGCCAGTTGAAGGAAACCAGCATCGAATTGCTTCTTGACTTCTTCTTTGATCTTAAGGAGCATCTCAAGTCGCATTCTCCTTAGCTTTTGTTGCATGGGTTTGCATTCTAGTTTGATAGGTAGTTCATGGACTACTATATCTGTGTCTAGTCCTGACATCTCTTGATATGACCAAGCGAACACATCTTTGTATTCTTGAAGTGAGACTATCAAGTTTTGTCTTGCTTCAGCCAAAAGAGTTGTGTCGATTTTAACATCCTTTAATATGTTGCCCCAGTATTCCTCAACCCGAAGGACATCACTTTGTAGCAGAAGGTTCCTTACATCGTGATGAATGTGGTCTTTTCTATGTCTTCAGGATGCATCTTAATCTGGTTATGCCCTGAGAATCCGTCCATGAACGAGAAGAATGTGTTCCCGGTTGTATTATCCACCAAAGTGTCTCTGTGCGGCAGAGGAAAGTTATCTTTAGGGCTTACCTTGTTAAGGTCCCGATAATCAACACACATGCGCACTTTTCCGTCTTTCTTTGGAACCGACACTATGTTGGCCACCCACTCCAGATACTTGGCCAGTTGAAGGAAACCAGCATCGAATTGCTTCTTGACTTCTTCTTTAATCTTAAGGAGCATCTCAAGTCGCATTCTCCTTAGCTTTTGTTGCACGGGTTTGCATTCTAGTTTGATAGGTAGTTCATGGACTACTATATCTGTGTCTAGTCCTGACATCTTTTGATATGACCAAGCGAACACATCTCTGTATTCTTGAAGTGAGACTATCAAGTTTTGTCTTGGTTCAGCCAAAAGAGTTGTGTCGATTTTAAAATCCTTTCTTTCCTCTTCAATTCCCAGATTCAAGACTTTGACTTCCTCTTCATGTGGCAGTATTTGTTTGTCTTCTCTTTCTACCATTCTCAATACAAGTTGCACTCATATTCATTGTCGCATTCATCAACTTCCCCGAGACAAATGGCCAATTCAAAATCCACCTCCAGATCAGGATCATATCGTTATCTGGGGACTTGAAGGAAAAAGAAAATATGTATGCGTGAGAGGAAAATATCCCACACGGAATAGTCGAAATTAAATTTGAAAGAGAATGAAATGGAGTACTGAAATGAATGAAAGAAAAAAATGAATTCAAAAGAAATAAAACAAGAAAACTGTTTGACATGAAGGAAATTGCATCTTTTATTGAATTTAAATCAAAATGTTTATTCACCCTTACAAAAGATCACCTATTGCTCGAGTATAGGCAGATAGGGATAGTTTGAATATTACTCTGAAAGGTATTTGAAAATCACAAGCAATTTTTCCGCCGAGCAGTTACTAAGCATAGACCCAGGTGGTAGTGGACGGATTCCGGATCTATTATCGTCTTCAGTATTTTCTGCGATTACGAAATTGATACTCAGATCTTTCAGAACCACTTCCAAATCTGATGAGGTGGTCTTAAACACATAACCACTTGACTTAAATATGTTATCAAGAGGTGAGAATACCTTGGGTTCCCATTGAAATTCATTTCCAGTTAACCTGGCTATTTTTCTTTCCCGATTCTTCTAAATTTTCTTCCTCTTTTCTTAGTGACTGGGCTGAAAACCAAGCCCAAACTGATCGAATTTTGATATAGGAAGGACATGATTATCCTTCCTTGCAGGTGCTTCCCAAACCCCCTTTCTATCTTGGCACTTCTTCCCAAGGTCTGCCTGATCTCTATTCTGGTATACTTGGAAAGTCAGGGTTTAG